AGCTAAGAGACTCACCCTTCCTGCTTCAGCGATCCTCTTCAGTCAAGAGAGCTCTCCGAAAGGGACCTACTTCCTGTGTGTATGTCTTTATAGTCTTTCTGTTCTGCCTTCTCATTGGTTGTAAACCCAAACATGTGACTGCCTCGTCACTGCCTGAATGTACCGCCCTCCAGGTCCTTAAAGGCGTGCGCCACCGCCGCCACGCACTTGCTATGGCTCTAATAGCTCTGACCCCCAGGCAACTTTATTTATTAACATACAATTAAAATCACATTTCAGTACAAGTAAAATACCACCACATAAATTAAAATGAAATGCCTTAATAAAGTACAACAATGTAGGTTTGTGAATGTACAATGTGCTAGTACAGAAAACATGATGGATTTCCCCAAGAAGGAAACTACACAAAGTCATAACCACACTGTAGTCCCATTTATGTAAATAAGGGATGAGAAAACTGGATCCCCACATGTTGCAAGTCCATGCACTTATCCTGGCCTCTCTATTTTTATTCTATTGCAAAGCTGTGTAGTCTACAGTAGTGTTCCATGTTTGTACTGGTGGCCTTTGAAGAAAGAAAATGAGATTCCTTGGCTCCTCCAAAGCATTAAAACATTTAAGGAAAATGATGCCACATTTATATTCTGAGGCAAGGAAAATCTTTGTTACAGAGTCAGAGAGAAAAAAAAGAAAGAACTTCATTTTAGGCACATTGTCGATACAAAAATGACAAATAATATTTCTTCAATTTTGTTGTTGAGTTTTAACACAAAATGGCAATGTGCTGGTAATGCATCATTCCCAATATGGATTTTTACCATGGATAAATATAATGACAAATGCATAATAAGGAAGATTGTTAACATCATCACTCACGTTGGTGATCAAAGATGAGCCCCTAATTTGTTGAAAATAAAAACCTTAAAACAGTAGTAATGCCTGGGCCACTATGATTTGTAGGCCAAGTAATTAAAGGCAATAAATTATATATTTATAATAGACTGTTGTGTTGAAGGTAAACAGAAGGACCAAAATTTAGGTGGAAGAAAGGACTAAGCACAAAAGCTGTTTATATTTAATGTTTTATGTGAAAATAAGACAGTGGAAAAAACAACAGTACTATATTTTTCCAGGCCAATTCCTTCCATTCATATATCAGATTATTTGAAGGGCATCAGGTAAATACATTTAAAAGTACCCCATGGGCAAAACCAGAAAACCACTAAGAATGCATCAAAAGAGGCAAAAAATAAAATAAAACCAAAAAAAGCAAATCGTGAATTTTGCCTTCACCAAAGATAAGATCATGTCACAAACTGAAAATTCGGTTAAAGATGCTCTGTACTCTTCCAAAATAAAAGGAGTAATGAAGCAATATACTTTCTATCACCAGTATAATGCCTATAGCATAACACCAGGATACATGGAGACATGGAGTGTGTGTGTATGTGTGTGTGTGTGTGTGTGTGTGTGTGTGTGTGTGTGTGTGTGTGTGTGTATATCTATATGTGTGTCTGTGTTTGTGTGTCTGTGTATGTCTGTGTATGTTTTTGTGTGTGTGTATGCGTGTCTGTGTGTGTGTGTGTGTGTGTGTGTGTGTCCCAAAGATAATGCTGTCTTCCTCAATCACTCTTCTACCTTGTTTTTTGAGATGGTCCTCTTATTGCCCTGGAACTTGCTGATTTGCCTAGAGGGTCAGCCAGCAGGGCCCCAGGATTTTCCTGTCTCCACCTCTCCAGCACTGGCATTACAAACACTATACTTGGTTTCAAGTACTACTATTGTGACCACAGGATAATCAGTCACGCTACATCTTAGAATCCTTAGTCTACATAATCTGACAGTCATGTTTATGTCTTTGGATTTGTCCATGACTGAGGAGGGGTATGTGTGTATCCAGGACACGGGAGGGGTTCAAACAATATCTTACTCTTGTGTTTATTACTCTTTCTGATGGAAGGAAATCTGAGGAAAAACTGAACCATGGCTAAAAATTGTCACCCGTCTTAGATCACTGACTTCCATTCCTCAGTGTAGCTTTAAAGTACAGCACCTGTAACAAGGCTATTTATTATGTACAATGGAATAATGAAAAAGAAGAGATGGAGTGTGTCTGTGTGTGTGTGTGTGTGTGTGTGTGTGTGTGTGTGTGTGTGTGTGTGTGTGAAGTATCATTTATAAGGTTATTCTGTCTTCATAATTTCAAGAGCAAGAAGCTATTATTTCTGTCATGATGAACCCAATAAATATTGTTAAATTTTCATTTTAGCCTTGTAAACTTAGCAAGTACATTATTGTTTACGTATTTTTATAATTAATGATAGCAGTATGATCTTCTTGTGTAATTGTTCCATTTATTCAAAAAGTTCCCACTGCTTGACTGATAGGCTTTGTGCTTATCTCCTGCTGTGTCCCCACAGTTATGATGCTCAAAATACAAAAAGTTCAGATTTTTCTTACTGCTGTCTTTCATTTCTGTTTACCATTTATTCATAAGCAAAGGGGAAGAAAACTTGATGTGGGAATGAGCTTTCATATACATTATTAGGAGTTGTTCTGTCAGAAGAACTACTTAATCTTCAGCACTATTTATGAGGCACTCAAGGTGCATCCAGCATTGCTTTGTTTCACAGATAGATCTCATTTATCTTGCTGAATACTCGAAATAGCTAAAGGAATGTTTCAGCTTCCTGGAAAGCAGTTCATTTATGAAGCTTCTATGTTCAAGCTCTACAGACTTTTGTGGTGATTAGCCAATCAGAATATTGTATTTCTTTATCTGGCCCTATGATGGATTTAGCATATGCAAGGGACCACAGACTAAATCATCATCATCATCATCATCATCATCATCATCATCATCATCTCATCATCATCATCACTATCATCATCATCACCATCACCATCAACCCCTTCGTCCTTTCCCTCCTCTTCCTCTTATCTTTATTTTCCTCCTTCTACCTATATCCCTGAAAAGATGCAGTATCATGATCTGTTTAGGATGGGTTGTAACAATTACTGTCATTGCATGGTTGAAGCTTTGCTTTAGAAAATGGGGGCATTATGCAAACAGCTGTTGGGAATCTCTTTTCTCTTTCAAGTCCCCAAGAGGAAGTCTGTTACTTAGCTAAAGAACTGAAGTGGGAATGATGCCAATTCAAGAAGTCTTCAAACTAGGCCATATGGACAATTTTAAACTTAAAATATGCATATAGGTAACATTATATGAAATAAGCAGGTTGTATTTATGTATTTAGGAACACACACACACACACACACACACACACACACACACACACACATAAAGGAAAAGAGGCCATGAACTTGAGAGAGAGCAAGGGGTGTACATGGAAGGGGTGGAATGGAGAAAAGAGAAGGTGGAAACATTGTAATTATACTATAATTTCAAAAATACTGTAAAATATATACTATTTTGAGGGTGGATATCTCTGTACACACACATGGGCTTCACATGTGTGCCACTGCACATATATGGAAGTCGAAGGAAAACTCTTGGGAGATAGCTTTCTCCTTCCACTGTTGGGTCCCTGGATCTAACTGGAGTCACCAGGCTTGCACAATAAACACTCTTGCCTTTTGAGCCATCTCCTTGGCCCCATAGGTATTTATTTTAAGAACAGATTGCCTGGTTTGAGAGTCAGCGTTTCTGACTGATGAGAAATACCATTAAAGCATAATGATATTAGTAAATTGGAAAGTTTTTTATTAAATTATTTATTTTACATCCAGATCACAGTTTCTCCTCCCTCCTGCCCATTGCCTCTTCCCACCATCCCTCTGACCCCACATCCACTCCTCCTCCTTTCTGTTCGGAAAGGGGCAGGACTCCCATGGGATATCACTAAAACATGGCATATCAAATTACAGTGAGACTAAGCACCTCCCCATGCAATAAGATTGGGCAAGGCCACCCGGTATGAAGAACAGGCTTTTAAATGACCATTTCATTTTAAATCGTTGCCTAGTTTTCCTGAATCTTAGTGTGTACTGTTGAGACCATTTGCAGTGTTTTTCTCTGACAATGAGCTTGTTATCAGTCTACCTGAGGACAGGCAAGACAGCCAAAAGACGATTCGTTTTGTTAAGTCTAATGAAGGATTTGTCAATAATGTGTATTTCATTATCTAATGTAAACAGAAATTTCAGAGCTACTGACAATTTGTTGCTGTTATTTTGTTGTTTTTATTTATATCTTTTCACTGCTTAAAATTCTTATATGTCTTAATTATTAACTGGGGAGAATAGATTAGATTTTCTTGCTTTATAAACAATGGTGACATTTTCTTGTTTTGTTTTTTGTTTTTCACATTCTTATTTCCCTTTTCGCCCTTCTTTTCCATTGCCCCTATAATGAAAACTGTTTGCTCTAGAGCTCTACACTGGAACTGAAAGGGCCCTTTCTATCTCTTGAAGTTCCTCATTTTCCAGTAGGGAGTCAAACACTCAGAGGAGAAATGACTCATGTAGCTTGTTTGGTTGTAGATCTTCATCCAGAATTCCAGAGATTCCCTGACTTTCTTCTTATTCCATTGTATCAATTCCCCTTGTGAATACCCAACTTACAGAGCAACATTTGAAGAGATCCTAACAAGCCCTGCATGGGGACTTGCTTACTTTTCTGGTTGATGACCTCAAATGATTAATAGTGCATATAACAATATCGTGTGTGTGTGTGTGTGTGTGTGTGTGTGTGTGTGTGTGTGTGTGTGTGTGTGTGTTTGTGACTGTGCAAACAACATCTTATAAACAGTATTTGGTGTCTCCACAGAATTATGCCTGAAAGGCGAGTGGCTCTCGTGGATACTCAGATAGTGTTCTTTTGCAATACGCCTGAACACTTCATTCTCACTGTTAAAAAATGCCCCATACAATAGTAGAGTTATACTTGCTCATGTTAATGTCACAGTGGGCCTTTCATCTCTGACCCTATGATGTCTCTCATTTGTGCTGACCTATTCCATCCTCTTTTGCTATTCTAGGTTTGTGTGCTGGAGAGGCAAATATTTGATTTCCTTGGATATCAGTGGGCACCTATCCTGGCAAATTTTGTACATATTATCATCGTCATCCTGGGTTTGTTTGGAACTATTCAATATAGACCTCGTTACATAACAGGGGTAAGTACCTTCCCGCGTTTACCTACGTCACTGAACTGGAGAAAGATGTGCAAGCTACCGAAGGCCTCCAAACTAAATGCATATCCTACTTTAAGGGTGGCATAATCTTAAATCATGTGTGTATTTTCACAGTTTCAGACTACATCGATAGTAATTGTGTTTGACAATGGATATAATCATATTGTATTTTCATTAATTGCACTTTGGGCAAGTGTTTTCATATAATTCCAAGCAGAACCATGACCCTGTGTTTCTCAATCATCAGGTTGTGGCCTCCAAATTTAGAAAATTTGATAAGATTGCTTTCTCATTTAAAATAATCCTGTCTCAAAAATTAGATAATCATAGCTTAAAACCACCGCAAACAACTATGTACTACTGATGTGAAAATTTCAATACACATTAGGAATAATGTTTGAACGAGTTAGAAGGAAGAATATTTTGGACCACTGTCTCTGTTGTTCCTGTAATTCTCATTTTGACTCAGAGGAAGTATTTTGCATTCCTATTCAAGTCAAACTAACTTAACATAAAAGTGAATCTCAACTGTGTTTCAGTTGCTATGGGAACCATAATAGGATTTTTTTTTTTTTACTTAGTATGTGCCTCAGATTTCTGCTATCATTCTTCATTAATGTAGGGGTTTTATTTGATGATCCTATTGCTGTTTTTCAAGTTTAAACTTTTTTATCCTGTTCTATTTTTGACAAGGGACTTATATATAGTATAGGGACTTATTTTCAACGTTAAAACTAGTTTGTTATTACAGCATCTGTTAGTACAGTTGAAGATGGCTTCCTTGAGCTCACATCACCAGGGCTTCTCAGCTCCTCAAGTTTCATGAAACTCCCTTCTCATAAAAGGTCCCCTTGTCTGGCTAGTATACTACTCCTGAACACAGAGGAGGTTCACTGGAACTGAGGCAAGAATGTACTAGAAGTTGCATCCAAGAGGTTCAGTGCCTTGCAAAGGAAGCAAGAAACTCTATAGTCCATGCATCCAGGAATGTGCTCTGGGAAAGGGCATGCAATATGTGTAGCGAGGTAGTGATTATGGTGTAAAAAGTGTTCTATTGAAGGGCAAAATTTTCTATGTTTAAGTTATGATAATATTGCCCATTTGACAATTTCACACAAATATACAGATTATGTTTATTAGATTCCCCTCCATCGCTCTCTTTGTCACCCTCTCTGGCTGAACTTCTTTTTCTTCTTTTATCCAACTAGTCTCCCTACCTTGTTGTGTGTGTGTGTGTGTGTGTGTGTGTGTGTGTGTGTGTGTGTGTGTGTGCGCGCGCGCATGAGTGCCCACACATGCCCATGCCAATGACTTTCATTAGGATTGCTCCCATGAGCATATAGATGAGGGATGTTTACTGGTGCTTGGTCAACTTAGTTGTAACTATACCACCACCTGAAGGAAAATAATTCCCCTTCTCCAGCGACCCACTGAGTTCTTATAACTTCTCAAGGAGGGGAGGGGATTCATGAGACCTTACTTCATCAAAGACAGAATGGTGTTGGGTCCAAGCTCTTACAAAGTGGATGCAGGTAATTACAGCTGCTATGAGTCCATGAATTCAATGAGTGTATAAATTACAGAAAACACCTTGCACAACACTTCTCCCCATCCTCCTCCTCCTCTTACATTCCTTTATCTCCCTCTCATGTTTTGTGGTCTGGGGAGTAGGTGGCATAAAGGTTCTGGTTAGGGCTGAGTACTTAACAGACATTTACTGTCTGCACTTGGGTCAGTTTTGAATCTCTGAAGCAGAAGCTTCTCTGGCCAAGGCTGGGACAGCACAGTTTCTGAATACAAACATAAATACTTAGCAGGCATTTTGACAACATGTCCCATTAGCAAAACAACTTCAGTAATATCTCTCCTAGGACCTATGAGTTCTCTAATCAGTGGGATTTGACCAGGTTTACATGGTCAGGAATGCGTTACCTTATGACCTTATGAATGTGACTCATATTCAGTCAGAAAGATTCAGTTATTCTCATAATAACTCTGCCACTGTTGTACCAGTAAGCGTATCTTGTCTGTCAGATCAGTACTGCAACATGCCAAGTCTGCATTGGTTAAGACAATGGATGACTCTTCTCTTCTGGCAGCTGGCATCAGACTTTCTAGCACAATGAATACTAGCTGGGAAAGAGGGCACTTGGTTTATTTTCCTGTGTCCTATAGCCAAAGTATATAGTATCTTCATAAATATAGCCTTACAGTTAAATTTTGGTGTGAAACCAAGAACAATGGCAATGGCCTGTGTAGTTTTTGGTTGCTTCTGGTACCTCCCTAACCAACAACTCAGAGAGCCGTGTCTCACATTTGGCAGTGGGAGATTTGTTTAATAACTGTTGGCTTCTGGGAGCAGCATTAGCCACTCCTGCAAAGGACCTTCATTCAGATGATCTTTTTTTTAGTTTTTCTTTAAAAAAAAAAAACAAAACTGGCCAGGCAGTGGTGATGCACACCTTTAATCCCAGCACTCAGGAGGCAGAGGCAGGCGGATCTCTATGAGCTTGAGTCCAGCCTGGACTACAGAGTGAGTTCCAGGAAAGGTGCAAAACTACACAGAGAAACCCTGTCTCGAAAAACTAAAAATAAATAAATAAATAAATGTAAACTGTATTTTTAGTTGGCTTTTGAAATAATAGGTTTCCATATAATAGGTTAAAATAGTAAGTTTACATAATTTCTAATTTTGATTTACTCTGCCCCCCATACCTTTCTTCAACCCCTCACCAAACCAATTTGATCTAAGGTAGAAACTATCGTACAATGACTAGGAGTGGACCATTTGTGGTCAAAATATTGAGGCTGAATTCTTGGATGTAACAAGCTATTAGTGGCTGTGTACAACTTTGTCTCATCTAGATTCAATATTTTTCTTTAAAATAGAAGTATTAATTATATTTTCTCATAATATTTTAGTTGCTCTACTATCAACTATAAATGAAAAATCTGACTCTGTGTCATTTTGTGGTTTTATTCTTATAATTAAAGTTGCTTTGAGTATCATTAAGTAAATATTACATCTGTATTTGTGAATAAATAGTTGGGACAAAAAGCAAAATGTCTGAACAATTTAAAAATGGAGAGGGAAGTCTTAGGTAGGAAGTAGGATAGGTTATGAAATGCATTTATCACAATGCTTAGTGTTCAAAGGTGTTCAATGCAAATAAGCTATAGTATTTTCCTTATCACTATTCAAATGTAATACTAAATAACATTGTAGCTGTAGTCTAGGAAGAAAGGTAACCTAAAGTGCTGTTTGACCTGTTTTCTATGACTTTCATAGCAAGTACTTTGAGACTACTCTGGATTCAACAATAATCTTCCTGTAAGACTTAGATCTTTGTCTAGTTGTGTGTTAGACCAATTTGAAACCCTGCTGGGGTTCTGTGTCACAACACATTTTCACACTACACCCTCATTTGCTCTTTCTTACAGGCAGCACTCTGGGTTTGACATTTTCTGTAGACACTGCCTTATGCTGAGAATCCTTTGTCTATGGCTGATGTTAAATTTCCGTGTTCTAACTCAGTGAGTTCTGGGTTAGAAATGCAACCTCCAAGTTCCGCTTGGCAATTCATGTTTTCTTTATTGCTCTCTTACAATATTGTGTCATATTCAGCTAAAACATTGCAAATAGCTCTGACAAATGCTTTCTTGACAACCCTCTTAATCAGCTCAGCATATCCACAAGTATGCCATTTGAATTCTCAATTATTTCAGGCTCTGGCCGGGATCATTGTTCTCAGTAGCTATCATGAGTTATCTCTACAGTCCTAAAACACAATTTTCTTGCTGCTTTTTCCATCTCTACTAACAGTCCTTTCTCCTCTGTTCTCTGTTGGCTTTTCTTACAACCAACACTGTGGCTTTGGAGTTGTATTGTATAGTAATAAATTTTAAAGTTACCTATTTCTGTATAATTTCTATGACTGAGGGTCTAAAAGTGGCTTCAGAAAAATAGGGACATAGCATAAAAGTGGAATAAAATTACAGTTTGTCCAAAGAAGACAAAAAAATTGCAGTTGAAAGAAACTTAAATAGAATCTTAAATGAGAGAAATTCTACTTCTAGAGAAGAAAAATGCATGATTAGAGGTTGTAGCTGACAGTGATGTATTGGCTGCAGTTAAGACTTAAAACTTAGAGTATAACAATGACATTTATCTAATTCTTTCTTTTCTAAATAGGTAGCCCTTTGTGATTTTTTTATTTGTCATTTTATATTTTTTATCAGTAGTTCAATATAAAATTAAGCAAATTCACAATTTCATTCCTGACAAGTATTATGGACAGTTTTATGTTTTCTTTACATATGTATTGATGAAACCTATTTGAAAATTGAAATTTTTAATGTATATCATCATATAACAATTTTAAATCTTTTGATATAATATTAAATTATAAACATATATTCCATTGTTCATTTGAACCTTCTTAACTTTAATGCTTACATCATTTATTCCCAAGTTTTACTATTATAAATCGTACAATGTTCTCCATGAAAATACTCTTGTGTTTATCTATGAATTATTTCTTAGAAGAAATACCTAATTAAAAAAAAGTATATGAGTATTTTAAGATATAACTGAGAGTTTCATATCCCAAATTCTATGAAGTTATCCTGTGGCCAGCAAGTACACTTCATCCTTGCTAGCTCTGACAAACAAGAGAAAAATTTACTACTTTTTAAAATTCTCTTTAACTTTAATGAAGTAGATTATTATTCATTTCATTTCATTTGGGGGTGATAAACTTGGCATGGCCATTCAACTGTTTTTTTAATAAATATTTAAGAATTTATATATTACATATATGAAAACTCATGGTATGGAATATATTATAGTACCAAATAATACATGATTTTCTCATGTATTTATATGCTATAAATATATAGTAAGCTATTTTATATTAACGTATGTCATATAGTTATAAGAATGACTCCCCATGGGAGGCCTTACCTTGTTGGAGGAGGGAATG